GATAAAAATGGTTTGCTGTTAAAATAATTTACTCGGAGTTAAGAATTGTTCATACAATGACATGTGTATGGAACGACCTCCAATATGATATATTGTTGTATTGGGAATGTTTTTTTTATATTGTTTTCATGTTTGATGTTTTCAAGTTACCCTCCCCCCCGGAGGGAAGAGGAAATAAGAGACGAATTGAAGTAAATTGCCTATTCCAATTGAAGCTGTATAATATACAGCACTACACATTTGCAGCAAGGCGGTTTTCAATACGGTACGAAAACTAAAAATACTTTACAGATTTTTAAATTCTCATCAAATATTATGACACATTAACCATCCGTTAATTTCTGCGTTTTGTGGGTTAATACCACTGGTGTAGATGGATAAGTACACTTTTTCGTCTGTGTGTCGGTGTCGGTGTAACATTTCTTAATCATTGCATGCCAGTCTATAACTTTCTCTAAGATCTTCACCAGGCTCTCTTTCTAAGAAGAAACATTTAACCAAATTTTCGCAAGATAATAACGTATTTTAAATATAAGAACACACAGAACACGATATTGTTGTACATATGTACAAATATTTTTTAAATCTATACTTAGTGGTAACTTCAATATGACGTCACTTTAGTGATTTGTTCAGCTTCAGATTTGTCAGTGTTCACCACCATGGTAATGTTTTAGTTATAAGTTAATAATTAAAGTATCTTATTTGCATAATTCAACAATAGAATTCATATTGCAAACCTCGCACGTACGTTGATCTCTTTCTAGATGACCTGTCTTTTTCAATTCGTAAACAATGTGATGAACATCGTAGCCGAGATAGTGATTGCATATGGGTTAGAATATGAACAAAAAACAAATATCTTTCTGGTTCTATGGTAATTTTAAATTGACAGTAATTATCTAACTTGTCTAAAGTAAACAAGTCAGCCCGTCATACCAAGGAAAGATACTGTTTGAATCGTTCCACAAATATATTGATAAACACATTAACATTTCCAACTTCTTGTACATGCCAAGCATCATTCATATTGCAAATGAAAAGTAAATTTTGGATGTCATTGATCCAGTGTATTTTGTTCTGGTTGCCGAATTTTTTTATATTGTATGGCATATTGTAGCATTTCTTGGGGTACATTGAATTAATGTTGCCCAATATTTAATGCAGCGTTTCGCTGAGTACATATAAATATGATATTTCCCACATTCTTCTAGAATACCATTTGGTGATCTATTAGAAACGCCAAGAAACATTCTACAGGCAAGATATTGGACTCATTCCAGATGTTTACACTCTATAAAACCCCAATTTTCCGTCCCATACTATAGTATTGTTAGTATCATTGTATCAAAGAACTTAAAGTAGGATCTGTATGACAGAGGGCGTAAACAATTCAGAGCTTTAAATGAACAAAAGAAGACTTTTTTCGCTTGCTGCGCTAATATTTTTGTTGCCATTGGCCAATGGAGTCTATAGGAGAACATAATACCAAGATATTTGTAGTATGAAACGGTGTGGACCTCCATCCCTCCATAAAT